TTTTTAGAAAAAAATTGTGACTGGGGATGAAACCTGGGTACACCTGTATGATCCAGAATCTAAAAGGTCTTGTTTGACATATAAGCACACCTCATCGCCACCTGAAAAGAAGCTTAAACTGACTAAGTCAGCTGAAAAACTGATGTGCACAGTTTTTTTAACAAATAACTTTTATTCTGGTAAAAAAAAGGACAAAAAACAAAAAAATTTTCATTTAAATATTTTGTGAATTTTATTAATTCAAGATTAAAGTATATTTAATGCATGAAAGAAAAAACAGCTATATGAATCATAGCTATGTTAGATTGCTAATTGTGCAGAATGATTATATTTTCTATTCAAATCTATTTTCTACCAGTTTTCATCATTGAGGCATGGAAAAAAAGTTAAAATATTTTAATTTATATATTCTCCTTCTCATTGTTTTAACATTGTTACCATTGTTTTTTTTTTGTAGAAGTCAATTTAATTGATGTGGCTCATTATTCATGGAGTTTTACTTGCTTTGCGAATAATAATAGAGCCCCAACTTCATTTTATACTTTTGAACCTAGACATGTTATGTATCCTCCATGGGTAAACATGAATTCATGGTTAACTGATTGTGGACATAATTGCATTTCTACAAAGATTACAATTACTTTTCAAAAATCTTATAATATAACATCCAATTCAAATCAATGGTCTATCAGAGAAAATTCAACTAATGAATACTTTATCAGAACTCAATCATATATTCAGAATTGAAGACTTAGGTAAATTTTTTATGTTTACAAAACTAAAAAATATAAGACTGTTGTCTGTCAAATAACAGAAGGAAGAATAGTAAAATTTCACGAAATTGATAAATGTCATGAAGCGTTTGATACTTATCTCCAAGATCATTCATATTCTACATGTAAACATTTATCATCTACATCAACTATTATTGAAACTTCTAGACTTTCTAATTAACATTTCACATTGAAAAAGTCAAACCAGAGATTACTCTACATTTTGATAAAGTACTCAAAAATCAGTTGGATGTTAATGCATTCTATAAAGATTTCGAAAAGAATGATTTTAAAGGTCAGTGCCAACTAGAAAAAGAAATTTTTAGTGATTAAATTATATGTATTCTGTACAGCTTTTAATGGGTATGGTTTCACCAGCCATGGGTACGATTTCGCTCAGGTACAGTTTCACCTGCTCCCTAAATTTATTATTATTCCTTATATTCAGAAGGAAAATGAAGATTCAGTGCACTATGTGTTTGAGCTTACCTGAGTTATATAACCATGGTCAAGTAAAAACCTTGTCACTAAGGAAGTTAGCATTGCTTTAAAATGGCAACTGAAGGCTATTTGGTAAAAATTGATAATGTTACTTGTGGTGTGTGTTTAGAATCTTGGGTGAAAGAGGATTCACGAGTACTACCATGCTAACATACTTTTTGTCTTAGGTGTTTGAGGAAACCAGAAGTTAAAAAACTATTCTATTATTTGCCCAGCTTGTAAATAAGTTTGTAATCTGCGACAAGGCTTTGTTTCTCATCTACCAGAGAACTTTATAAAACATTCGTTTATAGAAACAACTTTTAGCGCAAGTTTTTGCAAGAAACACAAAAAGGAGGAATCACTCTGTTCTCTAACACATAGTGTTGAAAATATATTGCTTACATGTTGGGAAAGAAATCATGCTGATTGTCGAGTGTCTCCAATGTCAAAGCTTGAAAAAAAGACAAAAACTGAAATTTTTTCAAAATGAAGAAGAGCAAAATACAATTACAATCTTGCAAAAAATTTCAAAATATGAAGAGATAGAGATATCACATATTAAGGAAAAAATTAAATCAATTAAAAGAAACTTCATAGATGCAGTGGATCAAAGAATAGATTTTTTCAAATCCTCCAATGATGCTAAAGCATTAGATGATGTTCTAAACACCAGTCTAATTCCTACAAAACAAAAAATTATCTTGCATTGCCTGTAGTTGTACAAATGTTTTGAAAGAATTTATAAATGATTAGCTTGCACTAATTCGATTACAATGATCACGAGGCCTGACATTCATTTCTTGATATTGCATTTGTTAATAATCTATTATTTATAACTATATACTCATTTATTCATTTAAACCTAACATAGAATTTTTCAATAAATTTACTATTCTCTCAAAATTGATATGATAACCCAAGTAAACAAATAGTCTTTGCAATGGGATTGGTTGAAACGGTTGTAACTAACATATTATATATATATATATCCTTTATCTCCTGCCTATATTTCTATACGTTTCCAAACAATTTGAAAATTCAAAAATGAATGGGCAAAACATGTAATCAAACCATTGAAATGTATCAAGTACATTGTGAAAAACATTCAACTACTATCGCCAATTAAATGTAGACAGAATGTTCAATACTTGATTGATGGTGATGTAAATACCTGCGTGAAAATTAATAAAACAGTCTCACCTCTATACCTAAGATATTATTTTAATAGAAAGATTAAGATAATCTCCTCTTTAAATAATAGTTTAATGGCAATGATATTCACAAAATTGAATTATGTAATCAAAATGATGATTTGAATTTTGTTTGCTGACAAACAAATTCCAGAGAAATATATATTCATATTTATACTCAATTGGCTAATCCTTCAATTCAAATTTGTGAGATAGAAATAGAAGAATAGCAATCCCAGAAAGAGAAAATTATCATTTGAAATTTTAACATAAAATTTAAGATTCTCTGAAAAACCTTTTCAGTGATGTCAGCAAAGAAATTGTTTAATCTATTCCATTCAAGTTAGTCATACAGACATTTTAGCATTTAATATTCTCTTGTGAGAATTTGGCAAAGTACAGAAATATGATATGTTTTTAATAGAAGCGACAGAAAATGTCCGCAAATGCCTGATTTTACTCTAACCCTAATCCCGCGCTTAGGAGACCTTTCTAAGTATAAATGAGTTGTGATCTTCTTTTTCCTAACCATATTTCAATGTAAAATATAGCCTTTAAATTTCTCAGTTATGGACTTTTTCTGCCGACCCCTTTTTTTGAAGAGAATGCTCTGCTTTAGAAGATATTTTACTTTCTTAGTTGACAAATTTTGATGAATCATACGAATACTATGTTGATGAACCTGCTTTACGCAATTTATTCAAAATAAAGAACAATGATACGGATTTAATACTTCTTATTGATATTAGTAAAGAGATTAATAAATTCAGTTTCTTAATCGATTATCTAAAAAGAGGCAGACTTACTTTTAAAACAATCGTCTGGTCTGAAGCTCTCTCTAAAGTTCCAAAAATTGCAATGATCATTTCCTATCTATGGAGAAAGCATAATGACAGATTTAGAATCACTTATGATAGGGAATGTACAAACCCTTATTTTCTCTTAGATCTTATTGCTGATTTAAGGAGAATAGTTTTTCCAAGGGATCCTTCTCATAACCCTTCCATTTCTTATTTGAATATCATTAGATCTTACCAAGAAGCCTGTTGGTATAAAGTTTTAAATTTTGATCGACCGCCTTTAACGAATGGACTACCGAGTGCATTGTGCTCATCACTATTCAAAAGTAGTCTACAGCCAGATAATGCTTTTAAAGGAGATGAATGGAAAATTTTCAATATCAGCAACATTAATGTATTTAATAAATGGCGATGATTCTCTTCCAGTGTAACACTGGAAAAAGAAATTTTGCGGTTATACTTAAGAAATTTCAGAAAGCTTTTAACCGAATTAACGTCAATGTAAACTTTTAAAAACATTAAGTTTAGAATTAGAAAAGGAGATTAAATTTTTGATTGAAAATAAAATTATTAAAAAAATTTCAACGAAGAATTTATATGACTTGAAATTTTTTCCTTGGATTTACAAAGCAAAAACCAACATGTCTGCCAATGTTAAATGGAAAGACCCTAATTTAAATAAAAGTAAAACCTGGAGGAGACTGGTAGAAATTTTACTATATAACTAGAACTGTTGAAGATTTTAAAATATTCTGCCATATTGTTTTTTACGAAACTATCTACCCAATACAATCAATAACATTTGGCTTTGAATTACGCAATTAAAGAGTTCATAAAAAAATTACTGTGTACATCGAAAAATTTAAACAGTTGTCTGTGGTAACTTCCGGTTGTCAACGTGAAAATTATAGGACTATGTATAGGTATAACAATTTGTTTTTCAATTTAATGGTGAAATATTTAAAAAAGAATTAAAGTTTAATTTCTCAAATACTAATATTGGTACGTGCAATTTGACAAACTTTCCGCAAAATATCTCTTCTACATTCATCTTCTGTACTGAAATCATGCTGAGAAATTCAAATTTAAATAATGATACTATTCATGAAAATCTTCAAAATTATTTTAAAATGCAATTTTCCATTAAAGTTTTGGATTATAGTTTAAATTGTAGTGGAAATAGAAATTTTCTAAATTATTTACAATGCTCAACGACAAATTGCCAAACGCTGGAAACATTTTATTACGAGAATGTTGGAATTGATGGTCACGTGGGCAGTGAGCTAAAAAACTTATTGAAATTTTTTGAATATTCAATCTAGTTTTATTAGTTATGTTTGTTTGTGTTGCTTTCAGTTTGTCCAATTATAACTCGATTTTGAAATAAACAGATTAACTCAATATCATTCTATTACTTTCTTGCCAAAAATTATCTACAATTCGTTTGTCAAAGGTAATATATAATTCACAAGTGGTGACAAAGCATTCAATAATTTAGCTAGGTTAGCCAATATGCAAATTACTTTATAATTAATCATTTATATCTGTAGTTGTTTGTTCATTGGTTGAAAACAGTAAAGAATAGATTGGCAATGAAAGACTGATTTCCAAAACTCTATCAATTATCTATTAAAATCTCTCAATGACAATTGTCGTTTTAGAAAATTTTATTAATTATTCGTTATTTTAAAATTTAAACAGCCTTATGCATATTTAAAATATAGGAGAAGAAGCACTTGTTCACGAGAAGAGAATGATTGCAAACAAGAATATTATTTGTTTACTAGTAATTTTAAATGTAAAAGTTGAAAGTAAAGAATTCGTTCTATTTTATTTATCTTTTTTATCATTTGTATTTTTTCTCTCTTTCACAGGCAAAATTCTGATAAATGTTGCTGATATTTCATGGAATTCAACCTGTTCTGCTAGCACTACAAGATCAAATTATGCTGGTTATAATTACAATTGTAAAAACGTACTATATCCAAATTGGATCAACATGTTTTCATATCTCACCGGATGTGTCGGGCCTTGTAACAATCCTAAACTTAATATAGTATTTCAGAAGGTCTATGATGTTGTTGACTATTGCGTATCGCATACTTTCATGTCATCTAACCAAAAAGCTAAAGAAGTGATTGTTATTTATAACAAAGCAAGTAATACCAAAGTTCAATATAAATTTAATCTTCATGCAACAAAGAAAGATAGAGAATGCTTTTTAGTAAGATATACTTTTGGTACAAATGTTAAAAGTATGACTTTTACACCTATTCAAACATTATCAACTGCAAATATCGGATTTTCTTCAATTATGATTTTTGCTTACGAAGATGGTTTGTACTTTTACATATTGAGATCACTTTCCAATAATCTTACTTTTCAGGTATGACAGAAAAAGTGGGAAGTAGCAACTACTATACAAACATAGCTAGCAAAAGAAAAGGAGCAACTTGTACAGCTTCTTCAACATATTCCTCTAAATATCAATGCAAAAACGCATTAGATTATATAAACGGAGCTTTTGCTCAATTCAACGAATGGGCTGCGATTTGCACAGGTCAAAATTGTATTGGGGAATACATTGAAGTTTCATTCCAAGTATATGGCGTTCCTAGTATTTATTGCTTAGCAAATAGGTTAATTAAAGAGAATTTGTCTGATCATTGCTGACTTATTTTCACTGATTCTACATTGCAGATATACAGGTCAGCATATATCAAAATCGAGAGTTAAATGGAGTTCGGGTGTGGTGGAAATAGTTGAATTGAATGTAAATAAATTTCAAAAGTGTTTCAAATATTCTAAAAAGTTTATTGAAACTAAACTAAATGTTCAAGTAGTTGAAATATCTGCATCTCAAAATATTGGTTTGAGCTTAGTTCAGGTGTTTGTTAAAGGTTTTGTATATTTGATTAAATTCAATACTTTTTTCTTTTTCAATGATTTGTATTTCTAAAAGATATAGAAAGTAGACATCATGATATTCATACAACATCTACCATGCAGTATACACTTCCACCTTATATTCAAAGCAATTTCAAAGCAATGACATTCAGTATATATGGCAGCGAAACTGCTTCAAATGTTTGTGGAGGACTCGTTTTTAGCTTTTATCGTAATAATATAGTATCATTTAAGATGGTTTTGTCCAATGCTATTCAAAGCTATTTGGAAACACTATCACCTCCTATCTATTTTAGAGATACACTACAAGACTATGTGGTTTGTGGGCAATGGAATGATTTTTGGATTACTACTCTTGATGGTACAGTTAAACTTGGCAAAGGAAAAATATATAACAGAAACACTAGCATCATAGCTCCAATTCTATCTGATGGCCCATCTGAAAAATTTTTAATAAGGAATTTTGAAACATCTGATCATCATCAATTTCGTGTCAATGATTTAGGTAAATAGTTATTTTAGAGTATAAAAAGTTCAAATTTTTTATTGCCTATTCAGAAGGAAAAGTTGTAAGAATAACAGAAAATGGATTATGCAATGCTGAATACCACACTGAATATCTTTATGATAATTTATATTCCACCTGTTTTGTTTTATCAAAGAAATCAACTGTTATTGAAAGTTGGAGATTGGGAAATGTAACTTTCAATTCAGAAAATATTAATCCGGAAATTACTTTATATTTTGACAAAGAGGTCAAGAATCAATTAATTGTTAGTTTATTTTATATGAATCTGAAAGAGACAGAGCCTAATGGTCCTTGTTTGCTAGAAGAATCATTTATAAGTGATAACTCTTACCAAAAATATAAATTTTCATGCAGTGGAATTATAGAGACAATAAGAAAGTTTTATTACAAGATAATCTTGGAAGATGCACTTTTTGACAAAGTTAAAGTTTGCCATATCAGTCATTAATGCTAAACTTTTGTAACATATTGGCCACCATTTTGAATTTATTGAATCTGTGTCATTTATGAGTTGTAGTGCTTGGAGAGAATGAATTGAATTAGAAAATTAAAAAGTTAAAACCTCACTCCTACAACTATCAACTTGATCTTCGAACAATCAGCTGGTTTAGAACCAGTCTAGATCTTATTCATTAGGTATGAACATAAAATCTTCAAGATTGTTCGAAATTGTTACATCTTATAATACAATTGACTTTATCTTCATCATTGATAAATTTAATGATATCTTCAATTCCAATGCACTATGCCATCATATAATGATAATTGGTATCTATTCATTGATTTGCTATTTATTAAGATATCTCTTACCAAAGCAAGACCTTTTGGAATAAATTAACCAGAGAGGCACCTTGTTAAATAGTTCCAAGTCCTGATTGTTATCACAGCAATGTGCTAGTGAAGATATTACTCCTTTCGTAAAGTTCTTAAAACTTTACGTTAAACGCTCATTAAAAATTTCAATATGTTGAAATAAACTGCTGTTGTGAAATAATTGTTGAATAAATAGTTTGCAATTTAGTTTGTTGCATTATTTATAATGTTTTCTATTGTACTGCTTTTCCACCTGTTTTTTTAGCTAACCTCTACAGACACTTTGTCATATTAACATTCTATAAACAAACTTCCCAAAGCAAACACCTAAAAATTCATTTCTAAAAGCAGACAAACGTTGCATTTTATTACATTTATATGTAGACAATTTTCAATAATTGCTGTTTTCCTTGTGGATGATATACAGACACTGATAGTCCTGTTATATTGTAAATGAGATAAATTCTGATAATATAAATGAGGTTGTTGAAAAAAACCATTTTAAGGTTCTAAATTAAGGAAGCTACCTACAAACTAATCCCATAATCATGGGAATGGATTTAGACAAATATTAAAACAATTGGTTTGTAATTAGCTTGGTTCAAACTAAGGAACAAGAAAAAAGATCTCAATTAAGAAGCAAATTACATTGGAAATTATAAATATTTATGAAACTAATTAGCACGAGGTGCAAATTCAAAAGTAAGTGTTGTTACTTTTCCTAGAAACAAATTCAAAAATTGATTGACAAGTAAATCTTTCATTGAATTTTCTTGCATCAACAAAAATACAAGGAAAGACGTTTTACTGAATCAATAAACAAATTTTAGGTGAATGTAAAATATATAATATTTATAAGTGGAAATTAGCTTATTCATTGTTTTTATAATAAGTACTTGTAAAATTGCTCTTAGGCCATTCAAACTTTTGAATATTTAGTTAAGAAATATCTTCAAAAAAACTAGTGAATTGAGAGTTATTTAATAAAGAAGATAGTTAAAGTGAAGAAAGAATCATCATTTGTTTGAGGAAATAATGATTATTTGTGTGATTTTACATTGTATTCTTATTTCACAATGTCTATGTTTTGTTACTGATTTGGACCATATAGTCAAAGCAAAGCCTGTTTATCAAAACAATACTGTTAATGATAGTTATCTGGCTAAATATGCAGTATTTGATGGACAAAATTTAATTGATCTTTACTCTTATGGTGAAAATACTAGTGATGGATATTTAATAATTGATCTACAGAGTAATTATGAAATTTTATAAATATGTTTATGGAACAGTCAACCCTCTGGCAAGTCTTTTCTATATATAAAACATGACAGATGTAGAAATCGTTTAAACAATTAAACTAAACACAGATCATTTGAGCAATTTTCAAGTTTTTGCCAGTGATTCAATGACTATCACGGATAATAAGTATCTATGCTTTAACTTTACTGGTCAAGTTAGTCAGTACGTGATACATGATGAAAGTAGTTATATCTGTAAAATATGCAATTGTCTGGGACAGTTTGTCAGATTCCAGAAAACTGAAAATAGTTATATGGCAATAACAGATATCAAAATTTGAGGAAATTTATTACAAGACACTGGTGGAAACTTTAAATTTCTCCTATATCCCAATGCCAATAGATGCTTGAATAAGGATGAAACCCTGAAATTAGAGAATAGAGGAAAACAAAGAAATATCAAATGAGAGACAGATCATTCTGTTTTCTTAAGTATTTTAAATGTTATTCATAAATTTCTATGAAACAAAGTTTCAAACAGACTAAAAGTAGTACAGAATGATGACCAATCATAATTATAGAAAAAAAACAAATGTTCCATGAGGGTGAACAGTTTGGACCCAAATATTCTGAGTTGTCAATAGATTTTTATGTCTGCAAACGTTTGCTTTTTATGTCATAAAATGTAGGCCTAAAGACATTTGCTTTTATGTTTTAATT